TTCTCCTGTTCTGCAAGACCACTTCTGAGAGTGAGGAGACTGACTTCTCTAGAAAGGAGATGGATTTCTCGATCTTCTGCAGGTCTTCGTCAATTGTTGCCTGCAGTTGTGACAGTCTTTGGTGCTGGGTCGCTAAGGCTGAGACTCCTGTGGCTGTTCTGGCTGCTCTTAGGCCCAGCAGCATTGCGATAGTTATACCTGTTACTATTTCTCTTTTGTGGAGCCGGCTGGGTTCCTCAAAAAGGTTGTACACTTCTTCATCTGAGTGGTACAGGACCCTAGGAACAATCAGAACTTGGACACAAAAGTCGTTAGAGTCATCGAATTTGGCAAGGAACACACAGGGACTCACTCTAGATCGCTGGCAAACTCACATCTCAGACGCGGATGGGACTACTTACTTATTGATTTTCCCGTTGGGTTTGACAACTTCGGTGCAGACGTTGCCTTTCTGCTTAGCTAGGGTTGCATTGCCAAAGCATCTGCCCTGGCCTGTGACTTGACTCAGGGTGATTCTTTTGCGGGGGGTGTCTCATCTACATTGGTTGGGTGCATCTGCTGTGGAGTAACCGAAGGGAGTGTTTAAAGCGACTCTTTCGTAAAAGGGAGGTTCGACATTGTAACAAAGCTAACAGGATTCGGTTAGGTTAGGGTTAGTTTCATTTGGGGATAGGAAGGTAGCTTCTAATATACGAAGGATTGGATCTAAATCTGACTCGGCTAAACGGTCTACCCGAAAGGCTTCTACATGGCCGGTCGGGATATCAGCGACTCTTGTGGGCAAGGCTTTGGGGTGGGTCGCGTTTCTCCCTTTCGGCGCGCTTTTAATCACTTTGTTGGGTCTGACCGCTCGGGGTGCCGACGGTTGGAGACTGATAATTCACACATTCACTCTCTCTTTTGACTTTTGAAGGACTACTGTCTACGTTCTGCCTGTTGCCCAGCTAGGGTGATGTGGCTGCAAGACTGTCATGTTGTAGCCTGTACATTTTCGAAATTTGGGGATTTTATGGTGGTTTCAATAAAAGTTACCGTAGAGGAAGAGGGGTGTTTTGCAACCGGTGGGTGCCCAGGTGAACTGTAAGAATTTGTCGGGCTCTTGTGGATCCCACCCAGGCTCTGACGGTCTGGCATCTGTGACAATGGTTTCGCAGCCCCAGTGCCCACAATGTCTCCACCCTGGGTGATTGCAGTAGCTTTTCTCAGGGTTTGAAGCTGGGCACCAGTAGGATAGGTACATGTGCGTGGAGTGTGGGGAATGGGGGTCTACCTTTGGTAGTCCTGGAAACAGGTCGGTGATGCGGAGCACGAAGGATGGGGTGTTCGGTGTGGTGATTTCTTTGAGCACTTTGTCACTATTAAGGTGTTGCATGACCTACCTGAATGGCCGATGGGGGTAGTGATCTGGGCTGGCTTGCCCTCTGGCGACAAGCCTCAACAGCAAAATCACACAGAAACACCGTTGATGCTTGGGTTCCACCCGTGCGGGTCTCTCGGGCGCTGCCTGGCGGCTTGGTGGTCTGTCGCTTACCTCTGGAATGGGGATGTACGCATCACGAGGATGCCCCACAAGCATGTCTTGTAAACAGAAACTCACAACTCTCATCAGTCTCATTCTGCTCGCTATGGAGGTCCGGTTTAATCGACTTAAGTGGACACCACCTGATTTTGCCGTCCTTTTTGACAGCTGCGTACCCTCGCCCCCGTGAGCATCAACCTCAAGCCCCGTTCCCATTCACCTAGCTCGTTTCTAATTACCACCTGTGGGCCCCCTGCTCCTGTTTCTGCTCCCGGGCCTTCTGATCCTCCCTTTTCATCTGCTCCAGTCACTCCAGCTGCCTCTGGCCCTCCTGATACAGCTCCTCAGCCCTCAATGCCCACTCCTCTGCATTCTGCTCCACCTGTTTCACAATGCCCTGCCGGGCTCTCATCAGCTCCTGCTTCCTCTGGCGCTCCAGCTCCTCCTGGACCTCCATGCCCTTCTCCCGCTCCATTTCCATCATCTTGTCCAAGCGCTTCTCTTCCTCCGCCAGTTCCTCGAGGATCATCTGCTTCTCCAGGACTTGCCACTGACCGTCACGGGAGCTTCGCTGCTCCATTTCTGACACCTCGGCCGGCTGCCTCGTATTGTCCCAGATCATGTTGCACTTGGCACTGAGGAACAACGCGTTCAGTTCCCGCACATCTTCCTCCTCCTCCAGCTTCATCCTTGTCGCTCGCTGCAGTAGCTTCTGCTTCCCCTGCTGCAGCTCCTCATCCTTGTCTCTCCCGCGGTCCCTCTCGTCCTCCAGCTCTGCCTTTCTCTGCTCCTCGATCTGAGCCTTTTTCCGGGCTTCCTGCAACGTCCAGATGCCTTTCGCTGCGGCGTCCGCTTTGTTGTTGCCGATCTGGAAGTAGCCTTTGACTGGGTCGTGACTGTTGATGTGAATGACTGACACAGTGCCCTGTCATGAGGAAAGTGCTTCTTGCAGCATAAGGGCTGCTGCAGATGTTGACACTCCTGGTCCCTTTTTTGTGTGAAGTGTTAAAGCCACCAGCTGGGTGCTTTTCGACACCCAGGACTGCCCTCCGTTCACTGGAGGGACTTCTTTGAATTGCCAACGCCCGGGCCAATGTGCTTGGGGAATAATCGTGCAGTCTGATCCCGTGTCCGCCCAAAACTGGAGCCCTACGATGTGGGGATCCTGACTGCCGTAAAGGCGGCATGTTCCCCACACCATTAGGGGTTCCTTCCCTATTCTCATGGCCGGGGCCACCCAGGGGTCCCACTCTGGGGCGCCTCCTGCTGGCCCTGTGACACCGGTGCGACTTGTGGCGGTGGGGGCTGCGAGGGTACCGAGGGTGCTGCATAGCTCTGCCATTGCCCTGCTGGCGGGGATGCGAAATTGACTGCTCCCTGTGGGGGCATGGGGTATGAGGGTCCCCTGCCCCACTGGGGGTTGGCATAGATGGGCCGTCTCGCATTTGCAGCGGGAGGAGGCTGAGTGTGGCCCGCGCACCCCCTCCCTCTCCCGTTTCCCCGGGGCCGGGATCGACAGTCCCTAGCGAGGCGTCTTCCCACAGCTCCTACAGATCCCTCTCAGGCGTGCTTGGAGTGCAGGTACTGCCAGGAAAAGCTGTGCTGGCTGGGGACAGCTCGCTGAGTTGCTGCCCTTCCCCAGAAGCTTGGGCTAACGCGGTCGTCTTGCTACTCCTGCTTAAATACAATCCGCCCCGCCCCATGAAAAAGCATGTGGCTTATTTGCGTAATATCAAACGTGAGCAGATCGTTATTGCTAGAAAGGTCGTCCTCAAGAGTGGGTACTACAGCTGAGTTGACCCTTTTTTCTGAAATCGCTTTGGCTTCTTTTGGGTTAACTGGGGTATATGCCCTTTGTTGGTTCTCCCACGCTCCGGCAACCCCCACCGGGAAAGCGTGCATGGAGGCTGCCGGTGCCCGGTCCCTACAAGCTGCTTTTATTTTTCCCCAATTGGTGAGTTTGTGTTGCAGTTGTTTCTCGATATTGTTTAAAGCTTTATTCGGTTTCGCTTGAAACTGCATTAATTCTGCTCTCTCGGTTTGCGAGTCCCAGCCGGACTTGGTCAGCTCTTCCGAGCTGTCTGAGCAGCTGTTACTTGACTCTGAGCTGGAAGCTGAATGCCGGTACACTTCCGGCGCTCCGTGCCGTTTTGTGCGGCTTCGACCTCACTCCTCTCTGTGGGGGTGGTGCCGTTCCCTCCCCCTGGGGTCTCCCCGCCTCCTGACGAGGGAGGTCCTTGCCCTATAAGGACCTAATTTGAATAGAGCGCTCTGTTGGTTTTGCACTCTACCGCAGGGACTGTCCCCCCTTCCCGCTCGCCCGCGCATGCGTTGTTAAGCAGGCTGACGGCATTTCCGCCCTTCTCCTCCTCCCTTCCGCCCTCGACATGTGGTTCGGCGCCATTTTTAAATGCGCATGGCGGGGGCGAGTTTTTACCGATCCCTAAGGGGTCCGACCATCCGGCCGCGTTCCGCGCCTTCTCCGCGGGTCCCTGCCTGAAGCATCGCGCGCACTGCTCTGCCTCTTGTGCTGGATCGGCGACTGGCGGGGAAGGGACGGATAGAGAAACCGCGGTTTTCTCGGATGGCTCCGCGGGGGGGCTAGGACCCGGCGGGCTCCGTGGGAAGGTCGGGGGTCCCCTGGGGGTTCCGGGGGGTCTCCTGGGGGCTCCGGGGGGTCTGGGCTCGGGCTCGGGAAGGGGTGGAACGTGCCCGGCCCCTGCATGTTCCCGCCTTCAATCTGACCGCTCTCTGAGGCAGTTTGTGTGGCGGCCCCCACCCCCAGCTTTGGTGTAGCTAATAAACCTGTACACGCGGCTTTCCGCGTCTCCTGTTCTTCTAACGTCTCGCGTAGGGTCTCTTCTACTTTCCCCCACGCTCTGAGGTTTTTACCTCTGCCTGCGGACTTAGAGTCCTCTGTTGAGGCGGCAGTGCACTTCTCCCGCGCTTCCGAATATAATATATTGACCGGACGTCCGATCGTCCCCAGCTCTAGGAGCCTTGCAATAGCAAGATTAGAGTTCCTGAGCTCACCTTTAATTCCCCATTGCTCATGAGCCTGACTTACGACCTTCGCTGTGGATTCCATGGTCCACGCTGGTCCGGAGGCGTCCCTCCCGCTGTAGTCCGACCCGCCGCTACAGCCGCTGCCCTCTGTCCAGGAGAATCCCCGAACCCCGGGGGCTGCAGCAGTCCCGGGTTCGGCACCAGTTTGTTGCCTTCTGAAGCAAGGCAGGCGACCTGGTTCAGACGAACAGCACAGCAGCCCTCTCACTAGGGCCACTCGGGCCAATGACACACGCAGACATCAATGTGATGGACGGTCAAAAGGCGTTTATTATCTCATCTCTTGGGTTTTTATAGTCTAAGGGGTCTCTACGTCAGCATGGGTCTGTCTTTACCTTCTATGGTTAGTAAGGGGTGGACAGTTACTGGGTAGGGGATGGAAAGTTACTGGAATTCGGTTAGGGGGGCTACTTTCCTATGTTAGTTTCTTATCTACGGGAAGCAGATGGTCTTATCTAAGGGGAACTGAGGGTCCTGCCTTTCCGTTACATCGCGAGATCTTCCGCAGCGCCTGTCCCTTTCTACCACAGTCCCCCTGTGCTCACAGGCCTCTGCAGCCACAGGAGAATTTGCCTCTTACCATGGCCGCCGTTTCCCTGAAGTAAGGAGGTTTTCCTTCCACCATCTCGATGGTCACAATGCCAAAGGCCCAGATGTCCACCTTGGGGCCATAAGGAGATCTGGTCACAACTTCTGGGGCCATCCAGTGAGCAGTGCCAACCATGGAGCTGCGCTGGTCCTGCTCAGGGCTGAGCTGAGCGCAGAGGCCAAAATCAGCTGAGGACAGAAACAAACCCTGTCAAAGGCAGCTGCAATGAGGAAACCAAGCACCAAGATTCCCCACTCTCAGTCTGAGAGTGCAGTAGTGAAGTCAGCTGGAAAAGCCCTCAGGGCTGTAGCCAAGGAAAGATGGAACTGGACCCTTCAAGAAACCATTGAGGAAGGGGTGGGGGATGTGAGAGAGAAGAGGGGAAGGAGGCAGGAGGAGGAGCAGGGCGGGGGGAGCGATTGAACCGTGGCAAGAGAAGGGGGAGATGAGGAGAGGAGCAGAAACAGGAAAAGTAGCGGGGACACCCCGGCCTTCATCGAGGTGTCCACGAGGGGCCAGGAAGATGTGGAACCCCCAGCCAGGAGTGTTCCCAACACGGGGGGCTCTGACCCTGGGGGTCACCCGGGATTATCCAGCGCGGATCCTCCCACGGGGGATGGAGATGGAGCGGCGCACGGAGCTCGTCCCGCACCGGGCACTGGGGAATCCGCGGGCAGCAACCCCTCCTCCCGGGCCCAGCCCCCACCCTTTGTCCCCCTCCCTTTGCCCAAATCTGTCCCATCGCCCCCCCCAAACCACTCCCCATCGCCCCCCAATAAACGGGCCCGGGGCCAACTGGGAAGCTTGATTGGGAGCACTGGGAGCAGGCACTGGGCGGGGGCAGAGCGCCAGCGGGGCTGGGGGGGACACGGGACCCCCCAGAATCAGCGGAGCGGGGACGGAGCGGGGGGTCCCGGCCGGGCCCGAGCCCACGGGGAGGGGCTGCGGCCGCCGCCGGCTCAGGAGCTCTGTGGGCACAGAAAAGGGGGTGACACCGGGCTGGGGGCCCCCGGCGGGAGTGCACACGCTCCGCCACGGCGGGGATGCCACCCCCGGCAGCCGCCCTGACCTTCTTGCGCAGGGAGAAGCCGAGCCCCAGCGCCAGGAAGACGAAGCCCAACACGAAGCCCCCAGTCCCCATCAATGTCTTGCTGCGGGCGGCGTCCGGCGGCATCTCTGGGGGGTCCGCAGGGGAACTGGGAGAGAGGGTGGAGGTCTATGAGTGAACTGTGAATGAACTGGGAATGGACTGGGAGAGACTGGGGAGGAACTTGGCATGGTCTTGGAGGGACTGGAATGGCACTGGGAGGGATCTTGGTGGCACTGGGAGGAACTGGGAATGAAGTGCGCGGCACTGGGAGGCCGAGTCCGGCGCGAGGCGCGAGGCGCTGCGGGTCTGCCTGGCAACAGATGAGTCATGAACAGGATGCGATCTCATGGGTTGGGGAGCGTCAACTTTACGGGTCGCTGAAATGGACGCGCGAGGGGGCACTGGGAGGGACTGGGAGGATCTGGAGACCCCGGGGATCGCCACAAGGAGGGCTGAGGGCTCTGGGCCGATGCCCATGGAGATTTTGAGGGGCTCCAGGGTCACTGGCAGGGCAGGCCCCGAGGGGACATGCTCTCCCTCGTGCTCACCTCGGCGCTCCGTGATGAACGGGGTAAAATTCTTGTACCAGCACCGGCAGAACCAGTCCACCGCAGTCCGTCTGTCCTCCATGAATACCGCGTTGCTGTTCCAGCGCTTGGCCAACTTCTCCCCATAGCGGGTGAACACCACAAAGTGCCCCACGTCTCTGTCGAACATTATGAACTGATCCCGGTTGTAGATGGATCTCTGGACGTACCTCACATTCTCCGTGCCGTTAATGAAGTAACACTCGGACTTTGTCATCCTTTGGAACACCCCTGTGTGTGCAGAACATAGATCGGGGAGTGCCTCTCCAACACCCTCCCCCAGCACCCCCAGAGCTCCGGGCCCACTCCGGATCCCCACTCCGCACCCCCAGTGCCCTCGGCCGCCATGGGACCCTCCTGCCCGCGCTGCCCCTTCCTCTTTGCCGCCCTTCCCCCATTTCCCCTTCCACATCCTCTCCCCTCCCACCTCCGGCCGCTCCCCAAATCACTTTGGGGTGCCATTTCCCCATTTTCCCACAAATTCCCCAATCCCCAGGCCCCATTGCGATCAGTTTTGAGGTCCCCCCCTCCGCTTTTGCCCGCTTCCCCACCCTCTCCCACCCCTCCCCTCCCGCTCTCCCTTTGGGGGGTCCCCTCCTCCTCCCCCTCCATTCTGGGCTCCCCCCTTCGCCCCCTTTTCCCCCTTCTCCCCCACTGTCCCAGCGCCTCCCGCCCCCCGCTCACCCGAGAGCTCCGCGCCCGCAGCCGGGGGGGCTCCCAGCACCACCAGTGCCGCCAGCAGGGCCCCAGCTGCCGCCCCTCGCCCCATGGCCGGGGCCGGGCAGGGAGCAGCAGCCCCAAAGCAGCCGCGCTGCGCTGGGAGCGCCAGTCCGGAGCAGGGCGGGCTCGGCAGCGCCGCGCGCTCTCATTGGCTGCCGCCGCTTCTGGGCAGCGATCGGCCACGGGCTCTGCCCGGCAACCGATGAGGCAATCCAACGCCCCGACCTCTCATTGGCTAAGCCTCCTCCTTCCTGCGCTGCCATTGGCTGAGGCCTTTCCGGGACGCTGCAGCCCCGGGCTGGGGGTTTTTTGGGCAGGGGGAACCTTGGGGCGCTGGACAGGTGGGAGCTCAGGTGAGCCCAGCAATGCGTGCCCAGGTGCGCGGCATCTCAGGGCTGCCCGTGGCGAGCGGTGACGCTGGCCCGATGCCAGGCACCCCCAGAGCCGCTCTGTCCCTGCCCCCGCAGCCGCACAGGGACAGAAAATGGAACCGAGGGTTCCTGCGTGGGGACAAGGACCGGGAGAGATTCCGAAGCAAATCCCGCACGGGCACAGCAGATCCGGCCTGGGAACATGGAGGGAATTTATTACCAACCAAATCATAGCAGCACAAGGAGAAGGGAAAGAAATCTCTCCAACACCTTCCCCCTGCCCAGCACAGATCACTCAGAACAGGGGTCACCAGGGCTCTGCCCAACGGGGGTCACTGGGGATCATCCAGCGCGGATCCTCCTATGGGGGATGGAGCTGGAGCAGCGCACAAAGCTCTTCCCACACTCGGGACACTCGCAGGGCCTCTCCCTGGTGTGGAAGTGCTGGTGAGTGACGATCTCTGAATCCCACCTGAAGCTCTTCTGACATCCCAAGCACTCCTAGGGCCATTCCCCAGTGTGGATCTTGTGATGCTTGCTGAGGTCGGAGGTCCCACTGAAGCTCTTCCCACATTCCCCACACTCCCAGGGCCTCTCCCCAGTGTGGGTGTTCAGGTGTTCCATCAGGGTGGAGCTGGAGCTGAAACCCTTCCCGCATTCCAAGCACTTGTGGGCCTTCTCCCTGCCATGAAGCTTCTCCACCAGCTCTGAGCTCTGGCTGCATCTCCAGCCGCCTTCCTGGCTCAGGGCAGCTCTTTACTCCTCACACCTCCCTGGGCTGGGTTTGCAGCCCCTCCTTGTGAGGGATCTCTGGGGCTTTTCCTCCTCCTCCATCTGGCCACAGCTTGGGAATGACAAACCCGGGTTTGGGGGTAACCAAGGTTGGAGTGCCTTGGAGTAGAGGCTCCTCCTGGCCAGGTCCATCTCTGGACCTCAGCAGGAGTCTTGTGTCCATGAAAATCTCCACACATCAATATTTAGCCCGAAAAAACTCTCCCAGGAGCTCCCTATTGCTGATCTCTCCACTTTTGGGGTTCAGGATCACAGGGGTCCAATGGTTCCAGGGGTTCTCCATTCTCTGGTGTCCTGCTTAGGGATGATCCAGGGGCTTTTCGGGGTCCATGGGGTCCCTTCTACCCTGATGTTCTTCTTTGAGATCCCAGGGATCCCAGGGATCCCTCCTCTCCAGGCTCCCCCCCTTTCCAGTCTGCCGGGGTCCCCCTGCTCTGGGATTGCCCCTCTCTGCTCTCCCCACTCTGGGGGTTCCAGGGGTTCCCCTCCTCTGCTCTCCCGGGGGTCCCCAGGACCAATGTCCTCCCCCGCCCATACGGGGCAATGGCCTTGTGGGCCCCCAAAGATCCCCCAAGAGGCTCAGCTTTGGGGTCCTGCAAGATCCAAACCTACACACACAGAGAAAAAAACCTCCCAGGGACACCAGATGATATCTGGGGTCAATTTCACAATCTGTGAGCTCCAAACACACCCCAATAAAAAACCCTCTCAGGGACCCCCGGATGGATTTGGGACGAGCTCCCCCTCCCCGCTCACCTGCAGGACGAGCTGGGGGCTATGGTCCCGCGACTGCGGCCACAGGGGGCACTGGAACCTCCTGTTCCTCCTGCTCCTGCTCCTGCTCCTGCTCCTCCTCTTCCTGCTCGTCCTTTTCCTTTCTCCCTCCTCCTCCTCCTCCTCCTTCCTAATCCCACCTCCTCCCCAGTTCCTGCCTTCTGTATATTTAGAGTGGAGAACCTTGCTTGTTTTTAGAACTAGAACAAAGATCCCAGATGGAACAAGGCTTGCTGCTTTTAGTCAGAAGCATCAGTGACTAAAGGTCACGTTTCCTTTGGTTCGGTGCCGTCCTTGTTCCTTCTCAGTGTTCAGACTGGGCTATGGGGTGTCCTTGTTTGCTGCATTTTCCGAGTTCCTCTTGCACCCTTTGGGCCATGGGCTGTGCCCTGGGAGGGTTCTTTGTGCTCCTTTATGACACAGGAGAACCTTCCAGGCGGTTTCTGCGTGAGCTGCTGCTGGGATGTCACAGGAACAGCGCCACGTCCCTGTGGTGTTCCCGTTGCTGTGGGACACAGAGGCCTCAGTGCCCAGAGTGGCTCTGGGCTCGTTGCCAGAGGATCCTCCTGCCTGAAGCATTCTCAGCAGCCAGCCCAGCCCTGACGGGTGTCCTTCTGTGCTTGCAGGGCTACAGGCTGCAGAGGTGTGCAGCGCAGCCAAAATGCTCCAGCACGTGGCTGCTGCAGTTTGCACTCTGTACTCTGTGGCTTATTCGGGGTATTTTTTAACCCACTTGGCACGTAAGTCGAGGTTTTCCCTCACTGCAGCATCTGTGGCTTTGGGCTTGCTGTGTGCTTTCTGTTCTTCCTCTGGAGCTGAGCTGACTTTGGAACCAAATTGCCATGAAGACACCATTGCTTTGGGAGAGCTCCTGCTAGCAGCTGCAGCTGAAAAAGGGGGTGTCTGCAGCCAGTGGGGCGTGCACAGCATCTGCAATGGGCCCTGGGGGGTTCTGTTCCCTCAAGCAGGGAGTCTGTGCCAGCAGAGCCTGGAACTCCCTCCCTTTGCTGCTCCAGCCAAGAACTGACCCAGCCCAGTATTTTGTGCTGTTCTCTTGCTTGCTGTGGGAAGGGACTGTGGCTCCTGGAGGGATGCTGTGAAAGCAAAATGCTCTCTCAGGGTTGCCTTGCTCTGTGGCATTTCCCACCACAGGCAGTTTTTCTCCTAACAGCATCTGGTTCATGTTCCCTCTCCCATTGCAGGGCACCTCATGTCTGGATTCCAAGCAGCTCCTCCTTCGGTGAGTGGGAAAGGAACCTTTGGTGTTTGGAATTGTGCAGCAAGTTGTGAGCTCGGCATGTGGCAGCTGAGTGCCAGCCTGGGAAGCTGAAGGAAAGTTCCTGTCAGTGCCTGCAGCAGCAGCAGCAGCAAAGGGATCCCCGGCAGTTTTCTCCTTTTCTGCTGAAGAGCTTTAGAAGAGCTGCAGGTCTGGCTTTGGAGGCAGAGGATTGCTTGCTGGCTTTAGCCATGGTGGAATATCGAATTCCCAACAATAAGTGGCAATGTCGACTTTAGCCCATTTTTAGTTGGAACAGCTCTGAACCCAATTTCTGCTTAGTGCAGCTGGATGTGCAGCTGAGGATAAATAAGGTGATAACTGAGATAGAACTTCCCGTCCCTCACGCTGCCGTCTGTCCTCAGGGCACAAAAGCAGCACCAGCACCTCCTGGGGCTCCTTCTGCTTCCAAAGAGGAGGAAGACAGCAGTGAGCTTCCCGCTGCTCTGGGGGACGATGGTGAACTTCCCTCAGTGCCGGGAGATGACAGTGAACTTCCCGCTGCTCTGGGAGACGAGGGCGAACATCCTGTGGTGTGGGAATGCAACGGCGAGGCTCCCGCGGGGTGGGACAAGGACAGGGGACATCTCCCGGCGTGGGACGAGGGTGGTGGATGTGCCCTGGTGTGGGACCAGAATGGCCAAGCTCCCATGGAGTGGGATGAGGATGGAGGACATCTCCTGGAGTGGGGTGAGGATGGAGGACATCCTGTGTCTTGGGAAGAGGAGAGTGAACATCTCCCAGCATGGGAAGTGGTCAGTGAACATCCCCTGGCTTGGAAAGATGATCGCAAACCTGCAGCATTTTGGGAGGAGGATGGAGAAGCTGCAGCATTTTGGGAAGAGGATGGAGAACCTCCCTCTGCTTGGGAAGAGGACAATGAAGCTCCCTCCGCTGTGGGATCCTGGGCTGAACATTCTGACAGCAGAGCCCTGCAGCCAGAGGGGAGAGGGGAGTGGTGCCTGATGCAGCTGAGTACGTCTGCTCTGTTCCTGGGTGCCCGAGCAGGTGCTGTGTGTGTGTCTGGGCATCAGCTGCACCCATGGTTGCTCTGCAGCTGAATGTCACAGAGCCATTTATTGTCCTTCCCCAGCTGACACCAAGGGGCTCACGGCCCCAGGGAGCGGGGCTGGTTCTTGCTCTGCTGCAAGGTGGGCTCTCACTCTGGGAGGGAGCATCTTCCACGTTTTTTCTTTCAGGGAACACCATGAGCGAGGCGGAGTCTGCCCAGAAATACCTGGAAGTGGAGCAGATTGGCCAAGGGTAAGTGCAGGGCAGCTGCTTCTGCACAAGCAGGGCTGGGTGTTGCGCTGGTGCAGGATCAAGTGAGTGTCAGGAGAGCCCAAAGCACCTTCAGGCACTGGGCTACCATCCTGCTGTCTCTCAGTCCTGATCAGAATTGATAACTGTGGTCAGAAGGTGCCGTCAAAGGCCCCTGAGGCTGGCAGTGTCCTGCCTGCAGCAAGGAGCAGGACCTGGAAGATCTTCTGTCCCTGGAACTTGATTGCCTAAAAGAGCAACTCACCATCTGGTGACTGTCAGAAAACAGTTCTCAAGAAGATTTCTTTCAAATATTTTCCTTCAAATAATATCCACCAGTCAGGATTATCAACCTAATGGTTTAGAAACAGAAACCAGAGATGAACCAATAAGTGCTGTACTCTAGCACAGGTAGCAGACCCCATACATTCAGTAACAGACACAGAGCTGATGCACTCTGGGGGGAAATGCATCACCTGTCTGATGGCAGGGCCCTTGTAGAACAGGCAGGACTTAGCCTGGAAATGGAAAAGGATGAAATGCATTCTTTTCCAGTTCTTTAGACACCCATTTCTCCTCCTAGCTTTGGAACTAAAGCAATTCAGCGTGGACATTTGGGATTTGCTCCAGCCCAGTTCCTTCGTGTTGTGTCTCAGTTTCCTCTTGCACACCTTGCATGGCAGAGGGCTGGTGGCTTCTGTGCTGGTGATGGAAGGGTGGATGCACCCAGGTGTTTGTGAACGCTGCAGGCAGCAGAGATCTCCTGTCTGGGCTGGCTTTCACTGCCAGGGCCTAAAGCGCTGCTTCTTTCTTCTCTGCTCTTTTGTCTCCAGGGCTTTCGGAGCTGTTTCTAAAGGACTCGACAGGGCCACTGGAGGAGAGGTCAGTGCCAACACGCCCAGCACGGCCGGCAGCTCTGCAGGGCTTTCCCCTCTGCTGGGAGCTGTGGCTGCAGCTCTGGGGGCCAGCAGAGCTTTCCTGCCCAGGCTGCTCCTCTGAAGGCAGAGCAGTGTCAGCCTGCAGAGCACAGCTGGGACAGACTTGGTCCTTCTCAAGTGCCCAAGGAATGCAAGGAGGGCAGCGGTGTCTGTCAGAGCAGGACACCCTGGGTTGGTCTTCATATCTAAAAGTGTGAATGCATCAGCTGCTGGAGACTGAGGCCCCATTAATCTTCATCCCAGCCTCAGACAGGAACATTATTTAGCTGTTTTTCCATCCTGCCTTTCATCTTCAAAGGGAACCTCAAGCCCTAATTAGGGAGAGATCCTGCTTGGACTCAGTTTGGGGTATTAGTCCAACTTCAGCTGTTCACAGAGGGAGAGGGAGAGAAATGAGAAGATGGGTGTCCAGAGCAAAGCTCTCTCCTAAACCCTGCAGTTGTGTTTGGGTCTGGTGTCAGTGACAGCCTGTGACAGGGATCACCTGAGCAATGGGTGTGTGTGTTTGCTTTGTTGTGCAATCCCAAACAGAGCAGTTGGATCTGAAATCATGACCAAATCCCATAGAATTGCTAAAGAGTTCCTGGCTGTTTTGCTCTTTTTTCACAGAACCAGAATTACCTCCTGCTTGCAAAATGTGTTTGAATAATAATAATAATGAGAGTGTTGAGGCCATTAGAGAAGACTGTAGGTGCAGAGAATGTAGTTAGAGCTTTGAGGCTGACAGCTGAGGGACCATTTCTGCAGAGCTTGCAAGGCCAAATGTCTCTGGCCATGTGTCCTGTAAGCAGCCCCCAGCTGGCAGAGCAATGGGCTGTGGGAATGGCCCTTGCTGAGCTCTGGTGTCCCATCCCAAGGCAGTTGGGCCCAGCCCGGCTCCGTCGCTCCAAAAAGACTCGCTCCGTGTTTGCTGTGGCCTCCTGCCACAGACTCCTGCAGTTAAAGGCTGCAATGTCCCTTCAGGTGGCCATCAAGAAAATGAGTCTCAGAGGGCAGAACAGGGAACAAGCTGTGAATGAGATCCTGCTCCTGAAGGACAAGAAGAACCCCAACATTGTCAACTCTTTGGACAGGTGAGTGCTTCAGCTCTTATCCCGTGCCCGGGCCCTGCGTTAACCTTTCCTGGCATCCGGAGTCTGTAGCCTGTTTGGAAAATGCCTGACCCAGCCACATCTTCCCAAACAGCCTGGCAGTTCACTCTCTCCATGTGCTTTCGTTGCTTTGCTTTGGTTTTTCCTTCAAGTTCCTCCCCGTTTGCTGTGTCTCCCAACAAGTGCTGATAAACCACAGCAGAAATTATTTCCCTTGGCTTCTTCTTCCCAGCCCTTTTCCATTGCTACAAATGCCAGGAAGATCAGGTTATTGTTTCCAGAAATGCCTCATTTGCCCATTTTTCACTGGCCTTGCCTGTTTCTGAAGGGACTTTCTGAAAGGTTTTCTGACTGCTTTTGTCCCAAGTGCTGCACAGCCTCCTCCCCTGGATAACCCTGGCAGTTGTGTTGCCTTGTTCTGCAGGGAATGGTGGAACTGATGAGTTCAGAAGCTGAACCAGCTGGGGCCAAGGGTTGTGGTTCCACATTGATCTGGGCTGTTGCTAAACTGCATTTTTCACCTGCTTGCCATCTCAGGCCTCTCCTTTCTCACAGGTGTCACCTTCTCCTTTAGACTGTGCAGATTCCAAGGGCTGTGCAGCCTGGCAGGAATATCTCTCCATCTGATTCTGTCCTCATTGACAAATGACCTGGAAACAAAGCTCCACTCCAGGTTTTTCCATGGGGGAATTGAGCTCTGCACTTTCATCTCCATGCCATTGCTTTCCTCTTCCAGCTTCCTTGTTGATGGAGATCTCTGGCTGGTGATGGAATACATGGATGCAGGAACTTTGCAGGACGTTGTCAGACAGACACGCATGGCTGAAGGAGAGATGGCAGCTGTCAGTCGGGAGGTGAGGGGTCCCGCTTGTCACTCCATGGCTGGGGCACGATGGTCCTTCCAAACAGGGCGTGAGAACAGGAGTGGCTCCATGCTCAGGGCTTTGTTTGTGTGTTGTTTTTGTGAGCTGGAGAAGAAAGAGCCTCTGCAGTGAACGGCCTGCCAGCATCACTGCACTTCTACTCTGTTCTTGTTCTCTCTCCTGCTGTTGTGGTACTCTCTGACTGGTTTGGATTTGATTTGCTGTTCTCAGCTTTGCCTTGAACTGTTTGCCTGGAGCTTGTGTGCACTGCACTCCTGGCCTGTCACAGCAAAGCTGCTGTTGGCAAAATTCTAAACTGTCCTTTCTTGTCTGATATATTCCGGCCATTGGTTTTGCCCTTGTGTTTCTTGTTGTTATGTTTGCCCAATTATCCCATCATAAAAAAACCCAAACAATATTTGAGATAGCAGCAATTTTAATTGAATAGTTTAGAAAATATATATTGACAATATAATTTGATTAAAAATAACGGATAATTCATTTCAAATAATAGTGCAAAAGCAAAAGATAACCACGGGGTATAGAGTGCAGGGCTCTTGGACCCTTGCCACCTCACGTACAAGCTTGCTAAGTGAAGATTCCCCCCTTATATGTCATGTGTCAATGCCATCTCCTCCCATTTTCGATTCATCACATTTTTACCTCTGCCCTCTATTGGAATATGAATCCCAATATCACCAGGTAGATTGTGCCTGGGCCCGTCTGACCCCTGCTGACAAGCCAAAGGCGGCAACTGTGGTGTTTCACCCCAGAGACATCTTTAGCTGGCTGGATGCTGCAGCGGGCAGTGAACAAGTCCAGACTTGTAGAAACCCACTTTATCTCACGTGGGAAGGCTTCAGGCGATGGTGAGGAGGAAAGGAGATGGATTCTGCCGGAGGGTTAATATCCAGAGTTTTATTCCATGGTCACAGAGGTCTGAATCACAGGTAACAGCTCCAACAGAATCCCGACCGCATGGCCTGATTGACCTTTTAGGCTCCAGGGGGAGGGGGAGGGAAGGGATAGAGGAACACCAACCAGGTGGGAGGGGCAGGGTCTCGGGGGAGGATGACACCCAGACAGGCCAATGACCTGTGCGCATAGGGGCATCTTTTGAAGCTGACCAACCACACGATGGCTCTGCTGGAATGCCAAGACTGACTGACAGCCCAGCAGGGGAAAAGGGGGGCGGGGGAAGATGGCACACCTGAAGGACTAGGATAGGTAAAACAGGAAATTGTAACACAGTGCCACATCTCCCCCTAGTGTTGTTTAAAAAGAAAGGGACTGGGTTTGTGATGAAATTGGTTCCTCCTCTACAGGAGGGGGAGATGGGCTTGAAACTAACTTGAAAACCATGCGTTTGATTAGTCCAAAAACAATGCTAACAACTACAATAACAATAACTAAAATAAACAGCACTAAAACACAGTTTTCAGCATAGATCCCAACCAGCCCAAGAGTCCCCAGCCTTTGAACAGTCCATTCAGCCCATTGTCAGTTTCTCTGTTGATGTCCGAGAGCTTTTGCCAAGGTAGTCCATACGTGCTTTGGGCTGAGGGACTATGCAGGAGATCGCAGGTGGGATGATCACGAGTAGGACGAGAAGCAGGCTCGGTCTATTGATGCCGAATTTTGCCCCAAAGGGCGAGAATAACTGCCTAAGAGACTCAATTTAAGTCAGCATAGACAGGAGGTATTTTATTACGACGCGTCGGAGAAATCACAAAAGGGATTTCTCCCTATCTTGTAACAAAAGTAAGCCTTTTATACAGTTTTGAATATAAAGTTACATCATATCACATGCATAATCATGTTTTTGCATGCATATTCATAAGAGGCGTGGTGTAGGCGGAGCGTGGGCGGAGGCATCTCTTTTGAGGATCATTTTGGTGGTCGTTCCGGTTGCCTTCATCGTGGGCAGGGGTCACCTGATGAGTCTTCCTCCTTAAACTTTTGAACTCCTATCCTAATATGGCCAATTCCGGTGTACTTGGCTTGGTCCCATGGCTTGGCAAGGCTCTTAGGGTCAGTTTGACATCGTTGGCTCAGAACATGCTTAGCCCATCAATTCCCCTATCCCTATCTCTCTTTCCTGTCATTGTGTCCCATGCCTTAGCCGATTTATTGCTCTATATGTTTCCTAAGTGCTATGCTTTCTTCCAATGTTTCACATTCCATGTTTTAACTCATTATTTCTTGAAGGCTATCCGTTTTGCGGCTTTACTATGGTGTCTTGAGACTGAATACACACGAACAGTGGGATCTAAACTGGTACAAGGAACTTGAGAGAAACATATATTACAAACTATTCCAGATAGGAGGCTTAAATGGAATTTCATCCAGAGAACGCGTGCGGCGTTTCCTTCTCCAGGCAGCATGAGCAACCTGGGGTACTTCCGTAGATTTCTCTGAGACCTTGGGAACATAAGGCTTTACCCATTTGGAAGGAACCCACCTTAAACCAGAGGGGGTGGACACACAAGCGTATCCACGTCCCCAAGTAACCAATTTGTAAGGTCCCACCATTTTCCAAGTCTCGGGGTCTTTTACTAAAACCGGAGGTTTTTCTTTCATCAACCTATGACTGCTCCCCCCAAAGTGGTGTAGGATGGGCGGGTTCAGGCTGTCAAAGGAACAATTCAGAAAATTGATTGTGAACAGTGCCCTGGATAACTGGATGTGGGGAGGTTCTACCTTCAGAAACTGTTGTTGCTGGTCCAGGACTCTTTTAGTATCACAGTGAGTTCTTTCTACAATGGCTTGACCTGTAGGGGAGTAGGGGATGCCAGTTTTGTGCTCTACTCCCCATTGCTGCAGGAAGCTCCCCAATTCCTTGGATTTATAAACAGGCCCATTATCAGTTTTCAACTCCTTGGGGATGCCCATGACAGAAAAAGCCTGTAAGAGGTGCTTAATGGCATTGATAAATGATTCTCCTGTGTGGGCAGAAGCATAGACTGCTCCAGAAAAGGTATCTACACTAATGTGAACATATTTCTGCCATCCAAAAGACTGTATGTGTGTAACATCTGTTTGCCACAGTTCACAACTGTTCAGTCCCCTTGGGTTTGCTCTCGTACTCACTGTAGGGACTGCATGTTGTTGGCAATTTGGGCATGTGGCCACAATTGCTTTGGCCTGTTCTCGAGTGATGTTAAACTGACAAACCAGGCCAGGTGCATTTTGGTGGAAAAGCTGGTGGCTGATTTTTGCCTGTTCAAAAACATTTGGGAGAGTGGCCATCATTGCAGGTGCAGCAAGAGCATCTGCCCTTCTGTTGCCTTCAGCGATAAACCCTGGCAAGTCAGTGTGTGACCTGACATGCATCACATAAAATGGTTGCTCTCGGTGAGTGACTAACTTTACCAGTTTTGAGAGCAATTCGAAAAGTGTGATGTTAGACACCTCTTGCAGTATTGCTTGATCTGCCCTGGATACTACTCCTGCCACATATGCAGAATCTGTAATCAGATTGAATGGTTCTGAGAACCTTTCAAAAACCCTAAGAATCGCAGCCAATTCAGCAACCTGAGGTGAACCTTCCACCTCAGCAATGTCCGTCTCCCACTGCTGGGTTTGAGGATCCTTCCAAGTCATAACGGACTTGTGGGACCTCCTGGACGCATCTGTAAAGACAGTCAGAGCCTTTTTTAAAGGTCTTCTACTTAGAGCACTTCTCAATTTCACAGTGAATTGAACATCTTGTTCAAACAATTTGTGAGTGGGCCACGCTACAGAAATTTGTCCTGAGTAGGAATCTAGAGCAAACTGCAACACTACATTTTCTTGAAACAATTGTTCCAGTATTTTCATAGTATTTTGACCCGATTTTAACTCAACTGGAATGTGAGTGCACTTAAAATCACATCCTGCTAACTCCCTGATCTGGGTCCTTGCTTTCTGGATCAGTTCTGCTACCAGCTCCTGAGGCTTTGTCAGTCTCTTAGATCATTTGTGACTGAGGAAAACCCATTCTATGATCAAGAGAGGGTCCCTCTGGTCCTGGCCCTTTTTAGGTGTTTCCTTTGCCTTAGGTGTTTGTTTTTCCTCCCACTGGAAAATAATTCCATCGAGGTGTGGCAACGTACCTAGGATGATAAATTTGAATGGCAGGTCAGGCCGACATCGGTTTGCCTGTCTTGTGGACATTGCAATCTGAACCTTTTCTAGAGCACCCCCTTTCCGTGCCTCTGGGGTAATAGACCTAGGAGCACCTGGGTCCTCTCCCCCTTTCAAAAAATCAAGAAGAGGGGCAAGGTCTTCGTTAGTCAGACTGAGCCATGGCCTTACCCAATTCAAAGACCCACACAACTTGTGGACATCCGCAAGGGTCTTGATCCTTGGATTGATTTCTAGTTTTTGAGGAACAATGGTCCTATTTCCAATTTCTAAGCCCAAATACTTCCAAGGTGGCATCTTTTGAATTTTCTTTTCTTGGAGCTCAAACCCTGCAACAATCAATGCATCGATCGTTAGGTCAAGCGCATGTGTGAGTAAATCATCATTGGGGGCACACACGAGGATATCATCCATATAATGATAGATGATGGCCTTCTCTGTGGCTGCACGCACTGGGGACAGCAGGGAAGAGACATACCACTGGCAGATAGCTGGTGAGACCTTCAAGTCCTGAGGAAGAACTGTCCAACGGTACCTTTACATAGGGGCTTCCATGTTGATGGAAGGGACCGAGAATGCAAAACGCAGTGCATTGTCAGGGTGCAAGGGGATTTGGAAAAAACAATCTTTAATATCAATAACAGCTGATTTCCAATCTTGGGGAAGCATTGTTGGAGATGGCATACCAGGTTGGGGAGAACTCATATCTTCAATTACATTATTAATTTGTCAAAGGTCATGGAGGAGCCACCATCTCTTTTTGTCAGCTTTTTGGATGACAAACACTGGGGAGTTCCATGGGGACATGGCCTCCACAATGTGACCCTTTTTTAGTTGCTCTTCCACTAGTTCCTCAAGCGCCTTTA